GGGGGGGGGGGGGGGGGGAGTGGGGCGTGCGCTTAACATGTTTTGAAAGGGAGGAGGGGGGTGTGGCGCTACCAAAAAGATTATGAACCCCTGGTTTCGGGTAACTTTAACGTCCACCACATGACCAGGATGTGCGAGTTTCACTGGAGGAATTAATCTTGACGTGTTTAATCCCAATCCGAATAAACTGAACGGTGAGGCGTCAGGAATATTGGTCGTCATTTAAAATGTTCGTTTATCCGCAACTATCATTGGTCGGCATTTAAAATGTTCGTTTATCCGCAAATATCATTGGTCGGCTCCTTTTAGGTTTGATCCAGATTTAACAAAAGTTAAGCAAGTGTTTAGTTTGATAAAAGAGCCTTTTAAAAAAATTGTACTTCATCTTTAATGACAAATCTTGTGAACATAATAATGGTTAATGTCTATCAATGAATGAATGAATAGAATCAACCCAGGCATCCCAAATGTTACTTTTTAAAAAAAAAATTAATAATAATAGAAATATTAACCTTTAATTCGTTTTTTTAAATTTAACAAAAAAAATATTTATTTTTTATTTTATTATAATTTATTCTACGTTTTTATAAAATAGTGTAATAAACCTGGCAACCCACAAATTATAAGTATACACCTATAACATTTCAAAGTTGTTTACAAAATAATGAATCGGGCCAGCCAAAGATTATAATTAATGACACCTGCAGGATTTCAAAGCTGGTATACAAAATACTTAATCGGCGACACATCAGTCGGCCTGGGCTGATCACTCTCAAAGGTTCCGGCGTGGTTCTGCGTGGTGCTACGGGACCAGTAAGGCCCAGTGACGTGGGCCACACCGACTGAAGGGAAAAGACTAGGGTGTACCACCGAAGACTGAAAGACTCCCTGAAGGAGGGGCGCATGCGACGAAAAAACCTGATCCCTAAAAGGTGGAAGCAAACTGATCCGACTCTGTTACTCTGGCAGCAGTGGCGACGCTACACCAGGTCCCGCCGGGTCACAAGACCTGGTAAAAAAACTTGGGACCTGGCAAATGACCTGGTAAATGTTTATTAGTTACTAATATTGTATAGATGCTCATTAAGCGTAAACTACATTACATGTAGGAGAACTTCCATTTTAAATGCCTTTATATGTTTAAATTTTTATTTTTAATACATTTATTTGAGACCCGCCACATTTTTTAAGACCTGAAAGGGACCCGCCATGTTAAATTTGATGGCGTCGCCACTGTCTGGCAGCTCTACAAAATGAGGCCTAGCTGAGGCCACTGTCTGGCAGCTCTACAAAATGAGGCCTATCTGAGGCCACTGTCTGGCAGCTCTACAAAATGAGGCCTAGCTGAGGCCACTGTCTGGCAGCTCTACAAAATGAGGCCTAGCTGAGGCCACTGTCTGGCAGCTCTACAAAATGAGGCCTAGCTGAGGCCACTGTCTGGCAGCTCTACAAAATGAGGCCTAGCT